TAATCAAATAGCTCAGAAAATACATCTTTTCTGTGCTCCAAATATCCCAAACTCTTGCCTTAAGAAACCCTAGAACGTGTATTGGTATTTATACAAACATCACCGCGACCAACGATAGAGCCTAAAATCACTTACAAGGTCTGACGGTCGATCGCGCCAAGTCCAGGCACAAATCCTGGATCCATGCACGATCGTGGTCGACTGACCTTGCGCCGCGGTCGACCGTGCAACTTCCAAAGTGACACCTGCATCCCAAAAGCCAGTTCTTCATCAAAACTTCTCGCGGTTTCTTCAAAATTCGTGTTTATTTTTTTGAATGAAAGTAGCAAATATTGCTGGGAAATATACAAGATGTCTACTCATACAAATGAAGAGGCATAATAGCATGAAATCAAAACAAAGAGGGGAAAGGAGAAAAAATTAAAGTTAAAAACTGTGTCATGTATGATTATAATTTGAGAAAGCAAAAGGAAAAGAATGTTTCATTTCTTTAGTTAGAAATGAGCTTAGAATATTTAATCAACATGTCATTTGTATTTCTCCTTAGAGAAGAAAAAGTTCGATATTTTGTTTTGTAGGATAAATATCCAGACGAAGAAGAAGAGAGAAACAAAAATGAAGAACTGATCTTTGAGAAAAAGATTAAAAAGAACTTGATTATGACATTAAAATTACTAATCGGATTAGTAATGTGCTGATTCTCTACTGCCAGAATTAATCTAATAGAAAATTGCAAAAGAAGATAATATACCATCCATTCATTAGCTTAAAGCTATGTTTATCATTTAGAATGTTGATACCTCTATGGAGGTCATTAACTCATTATCCCGCCGAGAATCTGATCCGAATAATTGAATTTGAATAATAATTTTAGGTCCACTAGATATATTAGGTGTTTTTTATATAAAAAACATATCTAAAGCTCATCGAATTTGGACTTGGAATTACTAATGTGATGATCGCATTTATGTCTTTCCAGATTTGAAGGGCCTAGTCCACGACAAATACATTAATCTCTTTGGATGCAATGAACTCTATGTAGGATGCTTAACGGAAAATTTCATGAAGAATTCAGAGAATCACGAGCCACATGTATTATTAACTTCCGTAAAAAAACAATTATATTTTTCAATCCGGAAGGCGAATTCTGACATATTATATATGTAAATAGCCTATCTCGACGAAACGTAGTCAACCAGATTGTCAAATTTTTAAAATCTCATCAGTAATACCTAGTTTTGATTGAAATCCAAAAATAATCAACTTCTAGTTTATTTTTAGTAATAAAATTAGAGTCTATTTAGATTAAGAAATAAATTTAATATTAGAGTCCAATTAGATTAGGAAACAAATTCAATTTTGATTCATGATTTGTTTTCTCTATTATAGGGAGTCTTTTTTAGGATAGAATTTAATACTTTTTATTTCTTTATAATTCTAGTCTTACTAGAAGTCTTATTTGTTTTTCTAACCCCAAAGGAGAATAACATATTTTTATCAATAAAATTACTCTTTTAATATTCTTTTCGTGGATTCGAAGTTCTTCGTGGATTTGGAGATTGCTCTTTGTGGATTCAGAGAACACCCTTGGTGGATTCCGAAGTTATCACTTGCGCATAGTGTCAATTGGTATCAGAGCCTTGTCTCTTCGAGTCGATGGCAGGTGATGAAGCCCCTTTTTCTCGAACTGAGTTCGACGCGCTGAAGACCGATGTTAATCAGATGAAGACTGTCATAGAATGACTTGCGTCGACAGTGGAGCGTCTGAACATGGGAGGAGTTCGAAATCGCGTTGATGGTCGCCAACGACGTGATCCGACTCCACGTGATGAATTCAATAGTGATGACTATGAAGCCTCACACTACGGTTATGATCGCAGAGACCACCAAAGACATGACAATTATGACGCTAGAAGATTAAAAATGCCATCCTTCAATGGAAAGCTTCATGCTGATGATTTCCTTGATTGGATTGATAAAGTGGATAAGTATTTTAAGTATAAGATAATCTCAGAAGATTGTAAAGTTAAACTAGTGGTCTACAGCCTTAAAGAAAAAACATCTGCATGGTGGGATGAAGTACTAATAAATTGATACCATCAAGGGAAGGATCCGGTTTGAACGTGGGCAAAGATGAAGAAATTTATTGAGAGACCGTTTCTTACCTTCTAACTACAAGAAATGTCAAATGTCTTTAAAAGATTCTTTTACCTTAGCCGCTACAGTCCGTCTAGCAAAGAAGGTGGAGCGAGAACTTGAGCAGAACGACATGCGACCTTTATCATGGATGTTTTTAGAGAGTTATCAAACTAGTTATGATTATAAGAAAATTAAGAAACCTCAATTCATCTCTGAGAAAGAGTCTGGATTTGTGAAGAGCACCGAGGAAGCACCAATAAAGACTTCATCAATTATGTCAATCATAGAACCTAAGACATTTAAGACAGAGATTGCTAAGGAGAAGGCTTCTCTAGTGGCAAACAACAAGACGCTCACCCCTAAAAAGGAAGATTTTGCCACCATCAAGATTCATTCTAAGGTTTCTGATGTTGATGATGATATGTTAATGAAGATGAATATTCTACATGATATCGTGAGTGATGTTACATATATTGATATTGTCCTGATGGAGGAGAATGATAAAATAGAGAGCAGAGCAATTGATGGTATGTGTGCATTGCTTGGTGGAGAGCTTGAGATAAAGGAGAAGAAAGAATTGTGTATGGAGTATGAGGAAGAAAATTATTTTTTGGGAGCAATAGTCATCAACAATTTCAACAATGGTGAGATGATACCGTTGACACTAGAATATGAAAAGCAGCAAGGAAAATATTTGGAGGAATTTTTCATGTCGACTACAGTGCCACATGCTGCCAGTGACATACACATATAATGGAAAAGATTCATACACAAGTTTGATACAAAAGAAGTCCTAGCAGAGGAGGTAAAAGAACAAATGAAGAAAATAAATACTAAATACAAGACGGATGCTAATCATTACAAAATAAAAAAATTATTTATCAATAAAGCTACTATTCTAACAAATATAAGCTCAGGTCGAGTTTCTTTCAACAAGGGGAGACTGATGTAGAACGCTTAACAGACAATTTCATGAAGAATTCGGAGAATCACGAGCTACACGTATTATTAACTTCCGCAAAGAAACAATCATATTTTTCAATCCGAAGGACGAATTCTGACATATTATATATGTAAATCGCCTATCTCGATGAGACGGAGCCAACCAGATTGTTAGATTTTTAAAATCTTATCAGTAATACCTAGTTTTGGTTGAATCCGAAAATAATCAGCTTCTAGTTTATTTTTAGTAATAAAATTGGAGTCTATTTAGATTAGGAAATAAATTTAATATTGAACTCCAATTAGATTGGGAAACAAATTCAATTTTGATTCATGATTTGTTTCCTCTATTATAAGAAGTCTTTTTAGGATAGAATTTGATACTTTTTATTTCTTTGTAATTCTAGTCTTACTAGGAGTCTTATTTGTTTTTCTATTTAAGAAGAGTCATGTAACCCCAAAGGAGAATAACATATTTTCATCAATAAAATTACTCTTTCAATATTCTCTTTGTGGATTCAGAGATCGTTCTTTGTTAATTCAGAGAACACCCTTGGTGGATTCTGAGGTTATCACTTCCGCGTTGCGTCACCTATAGACTAATTTGATGAGATAATGATCTTTTCTCTCCATTTTGTTTTTACTTAAGTAAGTTGTATATATGTTCATAGACTAAATGACTAGATTAGTATATTTTTTTGATCCTAACTACCAACTTGGTCTATTTTCATACTCCGACAACGATAAGATACATAAAGCGGGACATGGTGACAACAATGCCTATTTTTTGGCTAGAGCAAGAGTTCAACAAGATCACCTCACGTGATTCGTCACGTGTGTCTTACGTGGCTTATTTGAGCATATATATATATGTGACGAATGTTAAGCGGGATTTTAACTAACCTTTATGAAAAACCCAAAATTTCCCTCTTCTTTCAATTATCTTGACCTTATTTTAATCCTAGGAGCAAGAAGAATATCCTAACTTAATCCTTACTTCTTTGAGCTTTAATTTGCAGGAGAAAAAAACACTCAAATGAATGAGCGCGACAATCTGTAGGAAGCCACGCATCAGTATCACGTGACAAGCCACGTGACGTTTAGTGGCTAAAATAGCGTTCTGGACGAAAACTCTAGATCTTGTTGTCACCGTGTCCCGCTATATTTACCTTGTCAATACCAAAGTAAGATAATACACTAAGTTGGTACAACGGATCAATAAAATATATAAAATATTGTAGTTTAGCCAATGTTCTGCTTCTAGAATTATTTTTTAGGTTTAGCGAGAAAACTTCACCATGATCCTTCGGACACCATACGCTGTGGGGGCACCTCCAGCGCATGGCCAAAAGTATTGAATGAAATACTCCAAGCGCTTAAAATGAGTTTAAATTGGATGTACCTTCTCCAAAGCACAACATGGGTCCCAAAAATCCCACATCTCACTACAAAGCAAGGCCCACACGGGTGAGCAGCAGCAGGGTGAATGCAGACAGTTTTCCAAAAACAGAATTTTCCAAGAAAAGCTTCCCAAAAATAGAAACTGTGGACTGAGTCACTGGCACTGGATGGAGGGCACCATCGTAAATAGCTACGGAGAAAAAGGAGTTAGCGTTCGCGAGAGAGAGAGGGAGAGGGAGTAATTAACTAATTATAGCTTTTTAGGCGAGATTACATTCTCCATTTTTAGAGAGAGAGAGAGGACGGCCGTTAAGTTACGGGCGTTGACTTGTCAATAGGCACCAACGTGCCACCGTCGTCATGCACACGTGTCTCTTCGCACGGTACATCCGTACGTACCTGGAAGCCAAACCAAGCCCCTCTCATCTCTCTCTCTCTCTCTCTCTCTCTCTATAAATGCAGCTCTCTGTTTCTCTCTTCAGCCCCACCTCCTATTTTTCCCTATTTTTCGAGAGAGAGAGAGAGCCCAAACAAAGGTTCCGCTTTTATTTTCTTTAACATTTTTTTCTTTGTGGTTTTAATTCAGTTCAAATTGTTTTTGCTTGAATTGTTGGGTGGTAGATGAGGATGAATGAGACAAAGAGAGAGGAAATGGATCAGAAGGATCATCAGAAAGCCGAAAAGATTGATTTGAGCGGATTATATCTCGATTCTCTCCCTAATTCTTCCCTTAATCTTGCTGCCATTACAAAGCTCGATCTCTCCAATAACAATCTTGAGGTACTTCAAATTTTTTTTACAGCAATTTTTTTTCCCAACATATATTTCTCAATTCTCTATATGTGCAAATAATGATTGGTCATGGGTTTTGTTTAATTTGCACAACGACTTTAAAAAGTTGATTTTTTATTTTTATTTTTTATCATTGTTTTGTAAATTTTGATTGGCTTTGTTAACTGTTCTTATCTTTAATTATGTTCACCTATAAAAATAAAAATTCTTTTGTTTTCTAGCCCTGTTATGTTTTCCTTTTGTTTTCTAGTTATTTTTTATTGATAAAATGCGAGAAGAAATTCAATTGTCTGCTTTGCTTTTCAAGATTTGTATTCTGTATCTATTAAGAATGTAGATGGACGAATTTTGTTCCTTCTGGTTAATAATTCCATGTCCTTGCTCTGTTTACAAGTTTGCTTCGGGAACTTAATTTTGTCTCTTAATATATGTTTGTCTACAATATGTGGGTATATATTTATATATTAAAAATTTTACAATATCTTTGTTGTTTTCCCAATTCAATGTAGGACACGTAAGAAGGAAGCATTTGGGTTTATTCTCATTCCTTATTAATTAAAGAGAAAGAAAATATACCCTGTACCTTCATTTGTTCATGCAAAAATTTCCGCAGAAAGCAGGGAATTTGGGAATCGCTTTTGAATTTTCTTAAGATAATATTAGATAAGACCTTATGTCTCATATGAATTTGTTTCAACAGCTTTACCTACTTCTTAGTTAACATCAAGCGTTATAACAGAGAGATGAACTGAACCATTTTTTAAAAAGAAATCTGGGACAAGATGCCCAAAGAAGGAATCTATTCACTAGAAAAAAAAATACATGTACACTGTACGTGAAGAGTAAGGGGAAGAATGGTAGGAGATGAACTGTATACACATCATCTCGAATGACCCATTGACTCAATTATCAAATTTTAAGTTGACCAACTCAAAATTCAGAAGAAGAGTAGCTTTTCTCTAACAGTTCCTATATTCCCCTTGGTCTTTGTGTTCACAATCAAAGATTTGTTATAGTTGACCTTTTGTTATGGATTTTTAGATCTCGTAAAAACCTCGAAAAAACTACTAAACGCAACAAATAAAATTACACAAAATTTAACGTGAAAAACCCTCAACAGGGAAAAACCACGGGATCAAAATCAATCCACTATCACCTCCAAATTACAATCTTTTTCACGGACAAAGACTGCCAAACCATCTCTCTCTTTTTCTCTCTACACTTCTTCTTTTTTTTCCTCTAACAATAGAAGGACATATATAGGAAAATCAAAACTATATCTCTAGCCTAACTTCCTAATTAGAATAAGATTCAAACTCCTAATCATGATGGAACTCAAACTCCTAATCATGATAGATCTCTAACCCTAGCTAATTCTCATGAAGTTCTATAAAGAATTAAAAACACTATACTAACTTGGAGTTTGAGTTGATACCCAGCATATTTTCCCTCGACGAAAAATCTCCAAGTGTCTCAACGGCTTCAGAAAAACTGACTCTCTTCTTCTTGTTCTTTACCTCTCCCTTATGGATAAGAGTCTGAGAAGAGTAATCTACACTATTAACGGATCGTCCATCTAAATAGCAAATATGGTTGCCATTCTTCCTCCCTCGTAAGATAAAATCACAATCTTTATACACATTGCACCACTCTTTTTCACCTACATACTTGTACCCACGTGATGTCATCTCACCCAATGAAATTAAATGAGCACCATATGACGACACATATCTCACATGATCAAGAATTCCGACCTTCCCAGTGTGAAGCTTGAGGTGGACACTTCCAAGACCTTCAACCTTCATCTTCATGTTGTTTCCAACAATCACGTCGTTAAATTCTTCATCTGTCTTTAATGTGTTAAAATAAATTTTTTTTTGCAAACGTACATAGAGGCTGTAGAATCTAACACCCAAGTGTTACTCGTATCAGTACTTGTACTCTGCATCAATAAAATCACATATTCATCACACACAACCACCGAGGAGTCCGCCTTCTTCCTATTTTCTTGAAGCTTCATCTGTCTAATACTCTTCAAATCATCACGCATCTGTGAACATCTGAACTGAATGTGACCATTCCCTCCGCAATAATAGCACTCCTTTTTGATGTCGTCTCGGGCTCGAGATTTTGACCTTCCTTGATAACTATCACATCTCCTCGTACTCCTCCCTCGATTAGAATCTTTAAAAGCTAGTGCACTCTCACCACCATTAGATGCGCTCTTCTTTCCCATCATTCTTTTATTCTCACGTAGGAGTGTTGTCACATCATCGAACTTCAACGTCTGTTTCCCTGCAATTATCGTCTGAACTAACGGTTTGTATGACTTCGGTAAGGAAGACAATAGGAGTAACGCCTGCTCTTCTTCTTTAATCTCCTCATCAATATTTATAAGTTGGTAAACTAGCTGATTAAAGATATTGATGTGATCTTGAATTGCCGTACCTTCTTCCATCTTCAATGAATAAAGCTCCATCCTCAAACATAATCGGTTGGTCATCGACTTTGACGTATAAATCCCCTCGAGCCTTTCCCACAGCCCTCTTGGTGTGATCTTTTGCATAATATTGTACTTGATCTCGGGGGCGAGTGCCAAACGAATTGTGCTAACCGTCCTCTTTTGCATAGAACTTTATTCAGCATCCTTCAATCCTTCAAGTTTCTTATCCTCTAAAGCTTGATCAACACCCTGCTGCACAAGAATATCTTGAACCGTGCATTGCCATACTACAAAATTTGTCTTTCCATTGAATAACGGAATATCAAACTTCGGACCCGAAGAAGTCATCATCCTCTAACCACAATCAAAATTCAAATCAGCCAGAGATTGAATTTGATAAAACCGACGTCAAAAACGAACTCAGCGCGTCAAAAAACCCTAGGAACGACTCCTAGATCACTAAAATCCGCCTCTAAATCCTCGATCAAAAGACAAATCAACCTCAATCGTTGGATCTGTGTGAACAGTACCCACTACAGTGGCATCACTACAGTAACTTTTTCCCCTCGGTGTCGACCACTGACGCCTTCACGAATCGTGCATCGATCAAACCTCTACGAACCATTGAACCCCGCTCTGATACCACTTGTAGAGATTTCTAGATCTTGTAAAAACCCCCAAAAAACCACCAAACGCAGCAAATAAAATTACACAAGATTTAACGTGAAAAACCCTCGACAAGGAAAAACCACAGGATCAAAATCAATCCACTATCACCTCCAAATTATAATCTTTTGCACGGACAAAAACTGCCAAAGCATCTCTCTTTTTCTCTCTACACTTCTTCTTCTTTTTTCCTCTAACAATAGAAGGACATATATAGGAAAACCAAAACCCTAACTCTAGCATACCTTCCTAATTAGAATAAGATTCAAACTCCTAATCATGATGGAACTCAAACTCCTAATCATGATAGATCTCCTCCTAATCATGATGGAACTCAAACTCCTAATCATGATAGATCTCTAACCCTATCTAATTCTCATGAAGTTCTACAAAGAATTAAAATCATGATAGATCTCTAACCCTATCTAATTCTCATGAAGTTCTACAAAGAATTAAAAACATTATACTAATTTGGAGTTTGAGTTGATACCCTACAGGTCTTTGTGTTCACAATCAAAGATTTGTTATAGTTGACCTTTTGTTTCTTCTACATACAGATTAATTCTTTCTAATTTTAAAGAGATGAAACTAGGTCATAGAGGACATCAACTATTGATTTGAAAACCACTATTATCTTGAAAAACACTGGTGAAAACCCAATGCTATCGTAATAATGGAAATTCCACATGGTCTAATCTCATCCCTTGAGATTAGATTGGAGACGAGAGGATCTGAATCCTCTCGAACAAGTGCAAATGTTTAATTTCTTTTTTCTAAGAAATCCTACAAATGTTGTATTTCAAAATTATTCACAGCAAGTAGGAATTTATGTGTATTATTTTTGTTAGTTAACTCCATGTATATTTTGCTTATGATCCCTAATTCATGAATTTATAGCTCAAAGTAAATAGCTAGCATTGCAAATTGCTGCAATATGTAAACACTTAAATAGAAAAATAGGGAATAGCTTCTGACATGAGTCTTCTATTCGATCTACATGTATTTAATTTACTTTTCTGTGTCTCCTTTTCTGAAATCTTACTTATGAGTTTAACGTGCTAATGAACAGCTGATCCCAGAGTCACTGACAGCTCGGCTGCTGAATGTGGTGGTGCTCGATGTGCACTCGAACCAACTAAGGGTGCTACCAAACTCAATAGGGTGTCTGTCAAAGCTGAAGGTCCTCAATATATCTGGAAACCTTATTGAGTCCCTCCCTAAGACCATTGAAGATTGCAGGTACGCTATTTATGGCTCCCTCCCTAATAGAAATAATTAAGATGTTAGTCTTTATTTTTAGAAATGAATATAGTGTACATAAACAAGTTAAATAAACTAAACCGGCATAGAAATTCATAAGGTAATTTACTTTTCTTAGCTTAACTGACTGTATTGTTTGCGCTAGTGCACCCACTAATTTCAGATGCAAAAAATGATTCGGAAAGTGTTATGTACCATCTGTTTGAGCATTTGCGATTCATGTTTATGAATCTACTTTTGTGTATATATATATGAATTATGCTCTTAATTTAGACATCTGCAGGAGCATTTCCTCAATATGATACCACGAGTTTCCAAAAGTACAAATCAAACTGATCTGATATCATGGAAGGTTGAATATTGTTAGCAATAAAATATTGATAAATATAAACTAAGGTTTTTTTTTTGACATTATTCGAAGATCAAGCAGGCTAGGAAATGGTCTAAATCGCTGCTAGATGCCCATGTAGAATCTTCTTCATACGTTTTAATCTGGCTCGTCTAAGTTTTAGTAAACTTTAACTGAATAGAAACATGAAAATCAATCAATGTGAAGACACATAAAATATTTCTGTTTGTAACTATATCCCGGCACACTGACATGCACCTTGATCAGCAAAGCAAATAAGCTCTACGCAGCTCGAGTTCTGATTATTAATAAATTGTGAGCAGCTGTGGCTTGAGCTTTGCTTTTATAAATACAGATACTTGCTATGATTAAGTCATACTGTACTGTTGGTTGACATATTGCTCTCATTTACAATCCTAACCTACTGACACACTGAAACTGAAACGAGCAGCTTATCCATTTCCCCATTTTATTGCCCGGGTTCTTTGTCCTGAAAATGTTGGGAAAGAAACCAAAGCAATAAAATTGGGTTTCAGCTGAAGAATCTCTGGATGATGATAGATGTAATTTATTTTGCATAATTGTTGAATAATATTTCTGTAAGATTCTTTTATGAATTTATAATACCTTGAGATTAATTCTCCTAAAAAAATAAAAAAAATAATAGTAATCATTGGCTGAGAAAGATAAGCATTTATGATTTCCCTAGAGATGAAAATAATAAACATGGTATGATTTATAACTTGACTCAGTTTTATTCTGTTATATTCGCTATTATTGATTATTGAACCTCCTGTTCAATTAATTAGTGTCAAAATTTTAATTTTTCTACTGAGATATATCCACGAGTTTTGGCTTTGTTCTTTCAAATAAAGTAGACAAATTTGCAAAAAAAGATGATATGTATGTACAATAGCCTAATGGAAGATTGCATTCCGTTCTTTCAAAATAAAGTAGACAAATTTGCAAAAAAGATGAATATATAGTATATATATATAATATATATATATATATATATATAGTATATATAATATATATATTATATATATATATTATATATATATATATATATAATATATATATATATATATATATATAATTATATAGCCTCTTAACCAATTGAGAGATCTCTCTCATTGATTATTTTCAGAAGCTTGGCAATCAGAAAAATGATAGAAAATAGGGATAAATCAATTGAAGTTTCTTAAACATAGAGATGCTGACAAGCCTGTTCTTTCTTTGATCTTCTACAGAGGCAATTAGAGGAGGCTAAACGCAAACTCAACAAGCTCACGAGACTGCCGACAGCAATGGGCTTCGAGCTTTCACCTGCGCAAAACTCTCCGTGAACTCGCAACAACGGCTCGCCTCCTCCGCCTACTCACCTCGCCACATGACCGCTGCCTCCAGAATCGCTCGACGGCTGCGCACTCAAGCTGCAATCCGCTGCCTACTCCTGAAGACCTCGAGAATCTCAATCCGCACTCGAGGTGCGCTCAACATCAGGCCAAGAACTTCCACTACGGCTTGAATCTGCTCGCTTACTCCATCGGCCTCCTGCATCTCGCTTACCGGAGCTTGAACATTAAGCCTACCACAAAAATCATCACCACTTACCAAACTCTGTTGGATGTTTGACGAAGCTTCATGAAGTTTCAAGCAGAAGGAAACCCGCTGTGTTCCCAGGCCGATGGAGGTTGTAGAGAGAGCGTGCCATGCAGTGAGGAGTAGTATCTGAAGCGCGAGGATGAACGGCGCTTGGAGAGCTGAAGATGAGCGCCGAATAGTAAGAAGACAGTCGTGGTTCAAGAAATTGGTGAAGTTTCGGACGTTCAACTCTAGCAGGCTTTGTTCCTAGCCGAGGGATTCATTGATGAGAATGGATGGATTCTTGGCTTTTCGGATTATGCGGTCATCGAGCGGGCTTGCGACGTCGCAAGGTACGCAGGGATGTTGTTCCGCGCGAGAAGGAATATTTTGTCGGCGAAGAGAACTCCGTTTCAGAAGGTAATGCAGTTTGAGAGATGTCTGTTTCTTTTTTCAACCCCCGCTTAGTATTCGAGCGCGGGGCTGTAAAATGTTAGACGATATTGTTGGTTTGGCAAAAATATTTAATTAGAATAAGAAAAATGTTGAGACTGGTAAAACGTGTAAACAGGAATGCAGACTCTGGCAAGTGTGGAGTTGTGCTGATGCCAGATTTGGATTGGTTTATTGTCTGCAGCGGATAATTCAGGTGGAAATTTCGTAAAATTTTGAGTTGATACTTGATATCGTCGTTTCTGTGTTTTGAAGGGCTTAATATGGTTTTGTAAAGTGAAGTCTTGTCATGTTTTGAGAAATCCAATTTTGTAGGCCTCTGGACAATGAGGGGATTATGTAAAGCGTTAAATGACTTAAACGAGTCCATGAATTCGCTTTCTCGGGAGTGTTTTGTGAACCAGCGTCTGCTTTTATATAACAACTAGCTAGAAAATGTCGGTGGCAAAAAAGAAGAGTCAAGACCTAGCTGAAATGCAAACAAAACCAAAAAAAAAGGAAAGCCGGTAGGCTTTACTTTTTATTAGCCTTTGTAGCATGACTTTGGGACGGCACAAACAGCTGCCAACTCCCTCCAATCTCTGTAGTTGAGCCCGAGGCGGTTCAAGAAAGAGGGTGATTCTTCAGTTCGGCAGATTTTTGAGTTGAATTCGTTTTAGTTTCTGAGTTTTTAGAAAAATCTTTTTATTACGAGAAGATCGTTTCTTTTCGGAAATGCTAGTTTAGTACTTTTGGCCTTGTTTTATTACCTAGTGAAGCTTTTTATGTTACCGATTTTTTTATGTTTATTCTAAATTTTATATATCCATGAATTCTGGGGTCTTTGCTATGCGATCGTTTTATGAGCTAGTGAATGACGCAAAGTACCAGCGGCTGGCCTCCTTTTTTATTTTTTATTATATATATAATATAATATAATATATTATACTATATATATAATATATATATATATATATAATATATATATATATATATATATATAGTATAATATAGGATAGAAACCAAGACCATCGGGAGCATTTTAGAACCTGCCCACAGGTATCCGCCCCTTTTCTCTTTGAGTTTGATTTTTATCTTTTTTTGAATTATAGTCAGCATTAAGTTGAACTGTGTTTCGAAGGAGGCTCGTTATTCTCTTGGCGGTGAATGGGCGACCGCCGACACAAGTGACGTTTGGCAAGCCCGCAAACCCGTTACGAAGGCATTCCCGCCTTTCCCAGCTCACCCGCGGGCCCACGTGGTGCGCGCCACCCACTCCGCCGCTCGCCTCTCCTCAGTCTGTTCCTTGTCGGCATCCCTCATATAAGCAGTGAGGAGGAAGCTCTGAAGCTCCTCTCGTCTCGCTGAGTCGGCGTGATGTCGTTGTCTCGCGATCTCAGATCGGCCAGCAATGCTTTATGACTCTTCAAAGGTACCGCTCTGATCTAGGGGTTTGTAATTTTCGTTTTCCATTGAAAATTTCAGCAATCAATTCGGCCAATAATCGTTCAGATCTGATGCGCGAATCTGAGTTAGGCAGGGCACCGAACGACCCTGCCAAATCCTTTTCTAGGGTTTCCGTCTCGCCAGAATTCAGATCCAGGTCTAGAGATCGCGTCCGCGTCTCCCGATTGCGATGGAGAAATCTCTGCAGGCGGCTGCCTCGTGCCACTCGACAGGGAACTGCCCGCCGCTCGGCAACGAGATCAAGGCCGTGTCCTCGAGGGGAACGACGTCGTAGGCGAAGGTCGACTGCCATGAGAAGGCGCATCATGCTCCTCCTCAACGGGCGAAAAGCCGCTACCCCAGGCTCTTTCATCACACCATCGTCCGGCTACGTTCTCCCTCAGAGGGAATCACAGTCGCGTTCAGAAGGCTGCTCTTTTTGTACCGGTCGAGATGCATCGGATAAGACGCGACGGGAAAGGCCGGGTGCCTCCCCGAGATGATGCCTGATCTGCCAGAACTGAGAATAATCTCCGAGCATCCTAATGAGTACATCAGAGGAGTTACTCTCAGGTTCCTTTGCCGAGATGCTGCGGAATCCGAGCGTCATGGCGGGCCGTTGTTCCGTCGGTGCTCTCGAGATGCTCGAGCATCGGCCACCGTTTATCCGCAGGAACGCGATATTGCGATTATGTCGATCTACCAAAGTTGCCGCAAGGGGAGCAGTTGCTTGCTGAATGCCCCTGAAATTGTGCGAGAAAGCGTTGGTTCTGAGGGCAAGATCCGTCGGCAAAGAGGAACGCTTTCTTGATGCTGTTGCCTTGGCGGCGCAGAGACACGGGCGGTGAATTTACTGCTCTCCGCTTGTGGATCCAGGTTCGCCATGAATGAGGCTTTTGCAGATGGTGGTTCCTTGATTTGATCAGAAAAAGTTTGCAGATCCAACACCCGCGTGAAAAGGGGAAGTACCATTAGATTATCGTTTCTCTTTCTCACTAGCAGCCATCGTGCGGTGGTTTTGAATTGGGGCTTGCACTCGTGTTTCTCTGCGAGCCCTCGTACTGGCTCCGTCGGCGATCAGGTCTGCTGCTAGCCACTTACTGGCAGCTTCTGCTCTCTCAGAGGCGACAAGCGAATGTGAAGTTGATTGTGGCTTGATCGGCTCAATGAGGCTGCAAGACTTCCCATAGGGGAGGTCATGATGGAGATGATCATGGAATGTGCTTCGATCTCTGTCAAGCGGCGAATCTTGACTATCGCGCCGTGCAAAACTCTGGCTATCAGTAGCTTGATTTGATCACATCCGAGGAATATTGATGAGGTTGTTTCTTAGGCTCTCAGAAGGAGGTTGTCAAAAGACGCGGCAGAGTGGCGAACCGAGTGGAGAAGAAACGGGGAGTATAGGGCAGAATGCTTTGTGCAAGCGCTATTCATACCTGTGCGCATGAAGTTGCCCTGAGGTAGGAGCAGCGCGTCGTTCATCTCTTGATGGATTTCTTAGGTATTAGCAACGTGGCTTGCTGGCTATATGATGTGGTAGCTACTTGTGGCGAGGAGATGTCATTTGAGACCAACCCGAAGCTTAGGTTTCGATTCATTACAGGCTGGCTGGATACTTTCTATGCAGTATTCGGGCTGGCGAGGGTCTCGTTCTAGTGCTGCTATGGATCATTGGGAGTACTGCCTTTTCTTTGTCTTGAAGTGGAGAGTGGGATCTCAAAGGCGCATTAAGGCAATGCCTTGGGCGATCTCTCCTTCTATTCTGTAGGCTGAGGAAGGCGAGGCGGAATGATGGCTTCAAAGAGGCCTCACCAAGTTGAACTCATACAGTCACTGTTTTCTTCTTCGAAGCCGCTGTTCTCGCAGCGATGGACTGTATGCTACCCAAAGTGTCTGCATCTGAAAGTGCAATTTCAGCTCCTGCCTATTGTTTCTGGATGCTTTGGCTTGCACAGGGAGACTTGAGATCTTTGATCCTGAGTGGAGACTTTCTTTTTAGGAGCTGTTGTTGCTTGCACCCTGACATAGTTGGTTTTGAGGCTGGAAGAGGTTCAGCCATCGAAGGGCCGAAGTGAAACAAGCAGGGCTGCTGGTGCTTTGTTGATCATGGTGTCTGTGGCTGCAGTTAGGGCAATCCTTATCTTCCGCCCACCCCAATTGGATAATGATTCGTATGAGAGGTATTGTGCTTTGTGTTAGGCTTTGGCTGTGCAACAGCGGAGATGAAGTTAGGAGATTTGGTTGGCTGTCATGTTCGTCAGGCTTTGCAAAAGATGCTAGCTAGATAAGGCAATTCAGGGAGGAACAGCCAGGAGATTAAATGGCACAAGCCGTAACCAGTTTTCTCATTGCACAAACACTACCAGATGAATCTCATTGATTTCTAATCATCTGAAGAGCAGGTAGGTAAGAGGGAACGCGGCTGCCTTTTTGCATCAATAGGCTAGATTTTTTTTCTCTTTCATTAGTGCTGGGGCATGTCTTGATTTTTATAGCACCATTTACTTTGGGTTGTGATGCCAATATTCTATCTAAGTTTTGGGCATTTCATTAACCTATCTTGTTCGCAAGGCATGCATGCATGCTGTATTCAATTATACAGGAGTAATCAGTAAGGATGCATGTACATGACTGTGCATCAATACATGTAATTGGAACGGCTTTTTAATTATGATAAATTAAAGTAAAGTATATGCTTTCCTTGCCGTTGTTGTGCTTATGCATAGCCGCTTTGTGGCAGAAACGACTAACGACCTTTATTGTAGCTTCTAAGCATGGCAAGCTTCTTAACGAGAAAGTTAAATAACATGAAAGGCTAATTCATACGGCAACAACAAAGAGCATTCAGTGAGCTATCATGAACAATGTAAAACCGGAGATAGAAGGAAATGGGGCCTACTCATCTAACGTAGTTGATGGGATGAGCTATAAGCTTTAGTAGTTGGGCTCTTTTTAGATGATTTTGAATACTGTCATAGTAGTTGGACTCTTTTTTAGATGATTTTGATACTTCATTTTCAATCTCTGCAATCTATATACGTGCATAGAATACTTATGTAGTATACATTTGCCAGTAGAGTTTGATTTTGTGTTTAGCTTTTGAAGAAAATCTTTTAATATCGCGAACATTGTTGGTTTTGTTGTAAAAAAATACACTTTATTTAGAAGTTTTGGGCTAATATTGATGGCATGTGTGTGTACGGCTGGCATGGTGGAAACCACATACTATCAATGATAACTGTATCTAAGAGTAAATCTGGAATATTGGGATAGTTCTTATGTCCGTTGGTTTATGAGGCTTCTCGAGTATTATTAGATTATCTGCAGAACAATTGTTACTTTGTGCTCTCATGCGTTCAGTGAAACATTGGTATAGGACCGTTTCTCCCTTAAACAGACTTATTAGTTGTAGCGACTTGTACAATTAAGAATGTTTTCAGGCAATTCTATTGGCGATGATGGTTTTTCTGTCTTTCTAGGGATGAGGCTGCTTGAGCTCGAGGATGAGGTCAATGATGACTTGAAAAGCTCGCAACAGGAGAATCACGCAAGGATGGAGATGATGCTAAGCAAATAATATAACCGCATTCTTCAACTCAAGGCAGGATTTAGTTGACGCCATGTCTATGCTGAGGCCTATGTGACTGTTCAATCACTATGATATTGTCCTGATGTCACAGTCATTACGCGAAATGTAAGGAGAGCACTTCAGAACTATGCTTTGGAGCTTGCACCATGGAGAGCCTTTAAACTGGTGGAGCGTCGGCACAGAACTATACCCTAGCACCTGAAGTCAAGCAAGCAGATCAATAATGCCAAAACATTAAGGTCTCTGTCAAACAGAAAACATGGGTGTCATATTGTGATAATAGTTGTTTATGAGACCGTCAAATTTTGTTTGCAGCGAGAGGAACTGTTTGTTGTGCTCGAGTGACATTCAACGATTGCATCATGGACTCAGCATTCACCTGCCACTTGGTGGCTTGATTCCGGCATTTAGAAATATGTGGGCGGAATTTGAGTGGGAAAACAAGGTGCTTTTCTTTCGCTCTGCAGGATTTTTTTTCTCCCACATTACTCATTTCTATGGACATCCAGGAAATTGTAGAACCTTAATTTTACGGCTGTCAGGAAGCGTAATAGTAGCATGTCAATAGCATAAAGTATAGTATTGTATCCTGGGGTATTTTGCATGGTGTGCAAACAATTGAATTTTCGCAGAATACTCCATGTTTACTCATGCATTCTGGATAAAGTTAGTGGCTGATATACCGGACATATTTACGAAGTAAAGTAAGAGTTCACATTGCCATATTCAGATAATTTCGTTACCCTTTTGATGGTGATTTTTCTAAAGAAAATATTACTTTGTGAAGTATTATAAATTTTGATGTCGGGTTAATTAATACTAGGACGTGTCAATATGTTGGTGCAAGACATGAACTGTCGAGGTAGAAGAAAACAAAAATAAAATTGATACTTTAGGGATATAAGGCACATTATCGTGTTAACTTTTATGTTTAGGTTTTTGTAAACGTAGCCATTGCCTGGGAACTTTGTAAGCGGCGAGGAGGAGAGTGAGCGCTCATTTGTATGATTGGCTTTTTAATATGGGGGAAAAAAATCGTTAGATGTGTTTTGTTGATTAGAGAAAAGAGGAATATGGGTGGATTGCTGGGGGTAGAGCTAGCATTCCTTCCCCTAAGCCTTTTTTGCTTATTCAGTCTGGGAAAGATGGAGAGGCATGTTGGCACAAGTCAGCTTTGAAATTACCAATTCTTGAGAATCGGGCGAATCGGTGTGAAAACTTCCACCTGGAATCTAGCCAAGCTAGATGGTACTGCGCTCTTACTGGGGCCACAAACAGTTACTTGAACAATAAGGGAAACACTGAGAAAGAGGCACTATTCGAATACAAACAAACAATTAAGAATATATCGCAGAAAATATAATCAGCACCAAAGGGCATACGAGGATTTACGTGAACTCGAGGTCAATCACACAGGATACATCCTTGGGGGGGGGCTAATTTGGGTGACTTTCTTTTATTTCCAGAAGATTTATGAAGATTATAATCTTTGCTTTGTGTTACTTCAAGGAGACGCAAGAAAACCCTCTCTCAATCTCAGATCCACACGATCCTTAGATTTCTTTGCCTTTGTTTCTTCTCTACAACTCTCTGTCGACTTTGATACAATCCCTAGACGCGCGAAAGATCTGTATTTATAGGGTTTAAACCCGAATTCATACCAAACAAGACTTTTAGCCAGAGCAGGATTCCAAAACTAGAAAGCAACTGAAATCCAGCCTTAGGAGGCAGTCCGGAGCGGTCTGACCAGTCGGATTCATCGCAGGCCATCGACAGACCTCACCTGACCAGGTTTGACTTGACGCGTGCACTACTGCACTTGGCCGATTTCTTTTGCCAGGTTCCTTGCTGACTCTTCGCGACATCTGCCCATGCTAAAATACGGGGCTCATGCGCCAACAGTGCAAATTGAGCAACTTTTTTTTAAAATAAAGGAAGGCATGTTGTGGCTTTGAAGATGGGAGTGGCATTGCTTGTTGCGGTTAGAGGTCCTTTAAATGTTTATTTTTATTTTTTCAGGCGGATTGTGGGTTCAGAGATGGTTGTATTATTGTACAAATGCCAAAGCTAACTAGGCGATTATTTGATTATTAGTAGAAGGTAAGCATACTGATTTTGGGACTATAATATATGGTTGGTCGCACGAAAAGATGGATATTATTAGTAGGGAAGTCCATTAGAGGTAGAGAAACTTTGGAAGAAATAGGCTAGACCTTGACTTAGCTCGACGCTCGCCTCAACTGCATCCGCTCCCTCCCTGAAGACCTCGAGAACCTCATCCGCCTCGAGGTCCTCAACATCAGCCAAAACTTCCACTACCTTGAATCTCTCCCTTACTCCATCGGCCTCCTCATCTCCCTTACCGAGCTTGACATTAGCTACAACAAAATCACCCACTTACCAAACTCTGTTGGATGTTTGACGAAGCTTCATAAGTTTCAAGCAGAAGGAAACCCGCTGGTGTTCCCGCCGATGGAGGTTGTAGAGCAGAGCGTCCATGCAGTGAGAGAGTATCTGAGCGCGAGGATGAACGGGCTGGAGACTGAGATGAGCCCGAATAGTAAGAAGAAGTCGTGGTTCAAGAAATTGGTGAAGTTTCGGACGTTCAACTCTAGCACGGTTCCTAGCCGAGGGATTATTGATGAGAATGATGGATTCTTGCTTTCGGATTATCGGTCCATCGACGGGCTCACGTCGCCAAGGTACGCAGGGATGTTTTCGCCGAGAAGGATATTTTGTCCGAAGAGAACTCCGTTCAGAAGGTAATCAAGTTTGAGAGATGTCTGTTTCTTTTTTCACCCCCGCTTAGTATTCGACGCGGGGCTGTAAATTGTTAGACGATATTGTTGGTGCAAAAAATATTTAATAGAATAAGAAAAATGTTGAGACTGTAAACCGTGTAAACAGGAATCAGACTCTGGCAAAGTGTGGAGTTGTGCTGATCAGATTTGGATTGTTTTATTGTCTGCAGCGGATAATTCAGGGATTTCAGTAAAATTTTGAGTTGATACTTGATATCGTCGTTCTGTGTTTTGAAGCTTATATGGTTTTGTAAAGTTGAGTCTTGTCATGTTTTGAGAAATCCAATTGTAGGCTCTGGACAATGAAGGGATTACTGTAAGCGTTAAAGACTTAAAAAGTCCATGAATTCCTTTCTCGAGTGTTTTGTGACAGCGTCTCTTTTATATACAACTAGCTAGAAATGTCGGTGCAAAAAAGAAGAGTCAAGACCTAGCTGAAATCAAACAAAAACCAAAAAAAAAGGAAGCCGGTAGGCTTACTTTTATTAGCATTTGTAGCATGACTTTGGGACGGCACAAACAGCTCCAACTCCCTCCAATCTCTGTAGTTGAGCCCGGACGGTTCAAGAAAAGAGGGTGATTTTCAGCCAGATTTTGAGTTGAATTCGTTTTTAGTTTCTAGTTTTTAAGAAAAATCTTTTTATTACCAGGAAGATCGTTTCTTTTCGGAAATGCTAGTTTAGTACTTTTGCATTGTTTTATACCTAGTGAGACTTTTTATGTTACCGATTTTTTATGTTATTCTAAAATTTTATATATCCCATGAATTCTGGGGTTCTTTGCTATCCTGTTTTGTACTAGTGAATGACGCAAGTACAACGGCTGCCTCTTTTTACCGATTTTTTATGTTATTCTAAAATTTTATATATCCCATGAATTCTGGGGTTCTTTGCTATCCTGTTTTGTACTAGTGAATGACGCAAGTACAACGGCTGCCTCTTTT